CACAGTCTAGGAGGGACATGGGCTTGTATTGTCTGTCACAGGACTATTCATTCATCTGGTGAGCCTGGGAAAGGGTAAAATGACATGGTTTTCTGTGCTGCCTGCTGACTTGTTCACCTGAAGCAATGCCAGCAGAGCCAGCCTGAAGTGTGGTGGATTGTAAGCAGGAACAAGGCTGATGTGAATTGTAGGAGGTGGGGGCAGAGGAGGGATTTTCAGCATCTGTAAATGTTTTATCCAGCATAGGTGCTGCGTTCATCGGAGTGATTTATCAGTGTTAGGTACTGGAAATTTTTCCTGGCTTAATGTTTAAGATTTTTATTCCATCTTCATGGATGAATTGGTTTCTTGGGAATTACACTCTAAGAGGGGATTTGGAGTCTGCATATCTCAAAACCCGAGAGAGCAGGGAAGCAAACAGGCTCTGGGCTTGGCTCTCCAAGCACAGGCCTTCCCAGGGACCGGCTAACGCAGCCCGAGACCCTTATTTTCAGCATTTAAACTCACCCATGCAGAATTATCATTTGCAATCAGACTTTCTTTCTTTCAGAAAAATGGTGTTTGTGTCCTTTCTTAATTTTTTTGAGACAGGGTCCCAGTGTAGTTGTGCCTGCAGCTGTGTCTGTAGGAGGGCTGCACTGCCCTCTCTGTCTCAGAGGTGCCTTCCAACGCTGCTGATTTATACGACATCATTATGAGTAACCAGTGTAAGCTTGGGCTGAAATACACAGCTGACATGTCTGTCCCACAGCATGACATCCTAAATCAAGTCCTTTGCCTCTGTGCACGTGAGAGGCCCAATGTGTTCCTCTTCTGTGAGTTTCTGAACTTAGCCCCCACTACCTTGCTGTTAAAACCCCCTTGATAACGTGTGTCGCTCATTCTTGCTTTTAATCTCCGCTTTTAAAGCATGAAGCCGTGATGGAACTTGCTGTTTGATGGATGAGGAAAGTGTACAACAACCCCAAGCCCGTGCAGTCCCCAGGAACAGTGCCATGGGCTGTCCCAGTGTGTGGGCTGCTGTGTCACAGCTGGCAGGGCAGGGCAGGGTGGCACTCACCTGCATGGCCCTGCTGTTGTGGAAGTGCCAGGATAACCGTGGGCTTGGAGGAAGGTGCTGAGGGCTGGTATCCTAGCAAGCCAGATCAGAGCCTGGCTTGTGCTGTCATTTGGTTCAGCTGCAGCAACGTGTAAGGAACTGCAAATTTGAGGTTTGTACCCGAGGGACTCCTGCTCCAAATGAGAACAACTGGTGGTGAGGGCAGTTTAGTAAAGCCAAGTATTTATCTGATAAACAAGGTTCTTATAGAAGGGTATGAAGGTTACGTTGTCCCTTCTGATTCCTGAACCCTTGTCATAAATGCATTAAATGTGACAGATCTTACATTACTGTCACGATCTTGGAAAGCAGTCATTGCTCAACTGCCTTATGGGATTTCTTTCTGGGTCTTACATAAACTTTTTTAAAAACAGCCAAGTGCCTGATTTTCTAAGGTGTAACATATCTTAGGACGGATAAATATCTATTAATAGCTGTTTGTAAAGGAAGTTGGATGCTCAAAGTAATTTACTAACTTAAAGCAAAAAAAAAATCCTCATTCATTCTGATAGTTGGCTATTTTAGGTTGTTTTTCTATTTTCTGATTACTGTATCAATCCTGATGTATGAACATGTCTTCATGAGCGTGCTTTTCCAAATACAGTCATCAAATAATCTGTAAAGCGTTTCAGTCTGTCACACCAAGAAGACTGAAAAAATAAAGTGTTGGTGGTGATGGAGAGTGTCAAAGTGAGCTGTATAGACTGTGTTTGGAGCAAAGGTAAAGAATGAAGTTGAGTTTCTTAGGTATGTGCTCTGATTGAGCAGAGTGGTGGTGGACAGGGGTGAAATAATTGTTTTATCTGCTGTTGAACTGCAGTGGGGGTCAGGTGCACAACTATGACAGAGCTTTTAGAAATGCCAGTGTGTAATCCCCAGCTGCTGGTTTGTGAGGTGATCAGATGTTCACAGCCCAGGTAGTGAGCAGGGTGTCACCAAAAGCTGAACAGGCAGTGCTTTGCCTTCAGAGGCCAACCCCCTCATGAGGCAGCAGAAAAGAAGACTCTGGTATTACTGTTTGCCATGCTGTAGCTGTGAATGAAAAGAAAACTTAAGCCTTTAGGACTGGCAATAACACCACTTTTATTAAGTTTCTATTGAAGGACTATTTTGAGTAGGATAAATTGATGGGACTGAACACAATAACCTTCAGTATCTCACTCTCAAATACTTAGTAGGCAAGCGCTACCGAATGAGCGAAGAAAGCTAAGATGTAGGAAAAAAGGTTACTTGGCAACATCATAGTGTTTGTGAAGGAGAGAAAGAAGGGTCAGGAACTTAATGAATTTTGATTATAGAATTTTCTGTAAGTGAGTCATTGCATGAATAGAAAAATCCGAAACCAGATTTTGGTGTCAGACTCTAATAGGGATTGCCTCAAGCAAAACAGGGCTGGCTTGGAAGCAAACTGCAGAGGATAGCAAAAGCATAGCTGCTGTGTACAAACAAAATTGGACTCCCCAGGGGCAGGCAGTGCTGGCCATAGCTCAAGCAGAGATTTCTCTGAACAAGGTATGTGTGTGGTGGTGATGAAAGCAAGTGTTTATTTTTTGTGTTGCCTGGAATAAACACACTTGGAAGTGGGGAAATGTTGATTTGGGGACCCTCGTGTTTACTGTGTGACATAAGATTGAAAAAGTTGGGGCTTAACTTCAGTATTTAGAAGGAAGGCACTAAATACAAAAGCACTGTGGCCTATAATTACAATTCTGCCCACCTTGGCAGGGCAATTTCACTGGGTAAATGAATTTTTCTCTGTAATAATAACCTTATTAATTTCAGACCCTTGCAGAGAAGAAAAAATCCATGATTGTTTCTGCAGTGGTAACCAGCTGCAAGGCTCAGATAATTGTACCTGGTACCTTGGATGGAATAGGAGGTACAATACCAAGCCCAAAAAAGCCACTTGTCTACCGAAATACCTCTTCCCATCCAGTCCAGCCAGCAGCAGAATCTCTTTTTAAAGTAAACTTGATCAGAACCTGAATTCTGGCAATTAATTCAGTGGCCCACAGCAAGCAGACGTGGTATTTTTATGGTAAATACAGATTGATTAGAAATTAATTATTTACTGAATAATTAATATATAATTATTTACAAATACTAACTATGGTACCTAGGAAAATGCAATGTAACAACTATCTCCCCTATAGCCCTTTCCCCACTAATACTTTAGCTGTTAATATTCTGACAAATATAATTTTTTAGAATAAATTCTAACAAAATCAAGTTAGATTCTGACTTGGTAAAATCTTGCTAGTAAGTACATTCCTGGGGGCATTTTTCCATTGGAGACCAGGACATACCCACGTGGAGTTTGATTTCTGGAACCACTCTAAGTCTCCCCAGTGCAGGGAACTGAATTGCACACTGGAATATACTTCTTGGTTTTTCTCACTTATGTAGGGAGCTGAAGTTGCAAACACAGGTAGAAGTTTTCACACAGTTCAGTGTATAGTAAATACTAAATACTAATTTAGTTTACAGTTCAGTAAAATAGAATAATACTTCAAAAGCCTGTGTTTTTCTTAGGGTTTTTGCTTTATTCTCTACTGCTGATCATACATCTCAATACAACTGTGGGGATTTTAGACAAAGAGATTCACAGTGACGTGTGATAATTGTTTTTCTTTTCAGTGTGGAGAGCAAAACTAATAAAACCTGTTTAATTTTCTGTTTACTTTCAGTCACTGATTTTTTAATGTCTGTTGTCCCAGTAAGTCTTAGAACAGCACTGTTTGGATGCTTTAAAGCACTTAGAGCTTGGTTTCACTGCTCTGATAGCTTGAGATGTAGGTGGACTATTATTCTGACATAACTCCTGAATACCTCAAAATTTCTAGTTGAAGCTAAGCTCTAACCATGATCAAAGTGGCACATCAATTGGAATGAGCTGAAGCTTTGTGGAATTGGGATGGCGTTTTCTGTGGCACTAATCCAGATGTTGTGCTATTCAAGTGTTGAGCAAATCAAATTATGGTAACTCTGCAGAGAAATAATTGCTAGTCTGAAGTAGGCAGTGGGTTGCCTTCTGTATTTAAGTTATTCTGCTACAAATTAGAACTTCTAACCACCAAGTATGCATAAAGCATTTCTCGTGCCTATTATTTTTTTTCTGTTCTGCCTCAATAAAATAAAAAAAGACGAAACTTCTATGCTCACATGTAGTTGATAAGATCAAATTACCAAATGTAGCTTGCAAATAACCAGCTGAATTAAATTTTTAACATCGTTGGCTATAGAAAAAAAATGTTTTTTTCTGTGGTTGCTTAGTGCTCTAGCATGTTGGTTCCTGACTTTATAGATTCTGGGCAGATGAGCTCAGGATTTTCTGTGAGTTTAAGAAGTTATCATTAGACTCAGTTCTGCAGTTTCCAGGCTTCATCAAAGCACTCCTGGATGTACCTGATTGTGTGTAAACAAATATTCGTGCTGGAATCTGTGGGAGTGCCTATGCCCTTGAACAAAATCAGCTGCTAAGCTGCCCAGCTCGAGTGAGAGCCTGTTCTTGGCCCACCTGTGAGACCTTTTATTTAATGGCATAAGGCAGATGATGGAAAACATAAATCTGCATTCAAAGTCTCTTTAAATCCATTTTTTTTCCAATGTTTAAACTAACTTTAGTATCAGAAACTGGCCATGCCTTGTGTATATTTTAATATTCCTTCCTTCCTTCCCAGGTAAGTATTTAAGAAGCACTGTGGTCCCTGCTGGACCTTTGGTAGTGCTGTGTTGCAGAGTCCTTTCTTGCAGCACGGTGTGTGTAAATGTGTGTGTGTGTCTGTATGTGTGTGTGTGTTCTCACTTTTGCAGAGAGAGATCTGTGCTGATACCTGAAATAATAGATGTGAGGGGGTTTTAACCTTGTAACTGTTACGAGATCTTTATGTGTCTGCTTTAGGGTCGACCCTATCCCATATGACACTCCAAAACCAGCGGGCCACACGCGATTTGTCTGCGTCTCAGACACGCACTCCAGAACAGATGGCATCCAGATGCCTTATGGGGACATCCTTCTCCACACGGGCGATTTCACCGAGCTGGGACTGCCCTCAGAGGTTAAGAAGTTTAATGACTGGTTAGGTAAGGAATTACTGCGTTTTGGTGACCCCAATTAACCTCTCCTGTCCAAGTGTCAGTCACTGCCTCCTAATTGAATTAGAGCACTTGAAAATCTCCCCCCCCCCACCATCCCCTTACTTCACTTGTCCTCATGTGATGTGCTGTCTCTAGCCTTGGTCTAATTCTGTTAATTAAGACAAATTTAGATGCTTTGCTGTATTTTTGCATTATTTTGGGGGGAAAAGATTCTGTCATTCCACGACAAGAACTGTGTAGCCCTACGAGCGTGCCGAGGAGGTGGTGGCACCTCATATGAATGCATACAGTGTCCCATTAGTTGATGCTGGGGGGGTTTTATAACCACAGCCAAAACTGTTGCTCACTGTATTTTGGGGTTTACCATAACTTAAAGCAGCGCTGGAAGCTACAACATAATTGGAAACGATGAAAGTCCTTCTTCCCAGGATATAGTATGACAGAATCAATAATACTGTTTGGAAGAGGAGAGTTTTTTTGGACTGGTATTCAGGTGCTTGCCCCTTTAAGTTAGAATATTTGCATTTTAAGTTGGACCACAGGCAGTCAGCCTCCCTTTGATAGAATACCTTTCATACTCTGCTGTATTGGACAGCAGTGCCTCGATACTGCTGGAGTTGAGGGCAATTAAATTGCAACAGCAGAAAACCAAAATGAGGGAGGGGAAATTGTGCAGGATGCTCCTGTTATAAGTGCCACTGGTAGCTGGCTGTGTACTGCCATGCCACCTCTTGCACTAGAAGCACTCAGAGTTGAAGGTGACTCAAGCAGCTGATCTTCAGGAAACATTAGAATGAATTTACAGCGTTATATAAAAATCTTTCAAAGCGTAGCTTTGTGACCAGGCTTTACCTCCGTCACTGCACTCCCTTGCCTGCTGTGTGATGGCTGCGTCTCCACAGGCCTTTAATAGCATCATTTCATTCCATTAGAGTTCCTTGGCTGACCCTTCAAGAGATATGTAAAGAACTTTTGGATTTACAAAAGGAAATAGAAGAACTTCCCCGCTGTCTGTCTTTTCATCCTCCTTTGCATTTCCTCCACACTGTTCTTTTTACCTGACCTCCTCTGATTTCCACAGCCCAGTTTTAAAAGAGTGTTTTTCCTTCCTTTTATTGCTGTGCATGTGGGGCTGGGACCTCCTAATACTGCCATATCACTGCGACTTAGTTTTATTGTTCTTACTTCTAGAAAGCAGTACTAGATTTGATAGGCTCAAAACTATTCTTTTTCTGGGAATGGGAAGTCAGAAGCAGTAGGAGAAGCAGGTAGATATATCATAGGATGAGGGAAGAGACAGTAGGAATCATCTTCCTCAGCTTTTGAGTGTTCTTTGTGATAATGTCTTAAGTGTTAGTGTTGTGAAGGAGGAGGAGCAAGCAGGTAAGGAGTAAGCAAGGGAACGGCAGTGGGAGGCTGCCCAGCTTCCCTGGGAGTGGGATCCTGCCCAGCTCCAATCCTCTAGAGAGGCTGGGCAGCACTGCTGTTCAACAAGGTTCTGTTATTATGCATATCAACTAGCTCCAGAAAAGGAATTGCCTTCTGGAGACTCCAAAGTCTGCCCTGAGTGCACTGCTGACAGCAGTGTCAGGCCACCAGAATTCCTCTCTGGACTCCGAGTAATTGCACAAATGTTGTTTTGACACAGCCACAGCCTGTGCCCAGTGCTTGGCATTTGAAAGCACTGACTTAGTGCTGCAGATAGCCAAATCAAATAATCTGCTGGGGGGGTTTCACCCTTTGGTGGGGAATCTTACAGTATGGGCAGCCACTTGGAGTTCCTTGTGTTTGACAGGTGTTTCAAGGTGATGTTATTTTATCACATAGGTCCTTGACTTAACATTTGCAGCAGAAGAATTATTGGATGGGTTGTGTTCCAGCCTCAGTAATTTACCATGGGACTTTCTTAGCATATATGTATAGCTGTTGTAGAAGTCAGTATAGGATTTACCTGAGGAAGCAGATTTTGCATGCTTTGGCAGTCAGATTGATTGAAGCTGGAAGCTTTGACTTTGGGAGGACCCACTGGCTTTGGGCTCAGGCTTTCATATTTCAGGTGCAGAGAAAACCTTTTGTTTTACATGCACAGAGCCCACTTGCATTTTCCTCTATATGACAATACCAGTTTTCTGGCATAAAGTGAGACAGCAAATTGATTCCCCTGTGAAATCTTGTCACGTTGGTCAGTACTTGCTTCAGTGCTGTCCCTTCCTCACCTGGAATCAAAACACTGAAGTCAGGCACATACTTTTGCCAATTTATTTCAGGCTCCTACCTACAAAATGGGTAATTGTGTTTTAGTATTTACTGTGTGTATTGTGAGGATTTAATCCCTTCAGTGTTGTGAGGTGATGACATGCAATACTTGAAAAAATACATACCAGTGTACAGGAACAAGTGGGATTCCTTTTTCTTCTGCTGTATAGTGGGAGGCATGTTTTTTCATCATACTTGGTAGAAAGCTCATTCCAAAGCAACATACTGAGAACTGCCATCAAATACAATGTTGTCCTTATAGAAAAGTGTTTTCCTGTCTTTCATGGGTGTGGTTTTCTCCACTGGCAGTTGTGTTGTGAAGCTGTGATGAAGACAACGCACCTGTATCATTTGTGCCATGAGGGAGAGAAGTGAGATCAAAGCTGGGATTCATTCTACAGCTTATCTTACCTACTCTGTGGTTAAAAAACAGGGGCTCATCTCCACTAGGACTGTATAATGGAATAACTAAGACACAGACAAAGCCCATGGTTTTTTTGGCAGTAAGGCCAAGGGAAAAGTTGAGATGAGTAATTCTGAACTCCTGCTTTGCTTGTACTTCACTGGGCATTACATATGCCAGAGCTATACAGGGCTGAGAGCACTTCTGTCAGCCCTGCAGTTTTGTGTTTTGTGAGACTTGCATCCCTTTGCAACAATTTGGGTCTCTCACCTGGGAAAAGTGTTCAGCATCTCATTTCCCCATTCCATTAACGCTCATCATTCTTCCTTGTCTCCACAGCCTAATCACAGAACGTGCTTTCCATGCTCTCTTTCCCACTCTTCCTAGTTCTCAGCCCTTCCTGCAACTTTTGCTAGTTTGTGTGCTTTTTCCCTTCGGCTGTTACATTTTCATTATTGGTTTTGCATGGGAGTCATCTGGGCTTATACATTGAATAACCTCTGTGGTCACTTACTGATTACATACACTGGCTGAAGTAATTTATTCACTTTGTTTTGGTGTGAACATGTCCCTTGGGTCTTGTAACTGCTGTAATCACTTGACCTTAGGGACTGTTAAATGCTTTAAACACAGTTATTGTAAATTTATAATTGTTTTCATTAAAAATCTCTTGTAGTAACTGATTTTGCAGTAAACACAGCATTATGTACTGAGGAAGAGTTGAGATGTTATTCTGTGCCCAATGGATTTCTTACTAAATGTTTCAACTTACTATTATTATCTCTGTTCATATTTTCCCCATCCATTCTCGTTCAGTCATACATGTGAAATGAAATACAGAAATATCCAATTATAGCTCTTGTCTTCATAGTGCAATATTTCCTTTCCTGGGTGATGGGAAGTGATTGAATAACCCATAAGAACTGAAGAGAAAGCCAAGATAAATTCTGGCAGATAGATCTTTAATGAGTGTCGATATGTTTATTGTGCTCAATTAGTATGGGCCTGATTGTGCATATCCTTACTTGTGTCAATAATTTGCATCCAGTTTAGTAATTTTTCTCAAACAACCAGGTTTGTACTTTTTTGTTTAGAGGTTATATCTTAATGTGTTAATTTTTGGGTTCTGCGTTTTTGTTGTTTTTTTTTTTATTTTTCCATGCAAGACTTCTATTACAAGGCATATTACTGCACAAACTAGACAAAATCCTGCAGTTGTACACACAAATAAATTCAGGAGGTGAAATTACTGCTGGTTACTGTCTGTGGAGCTGAGTGTTGAATTTAGCTAGGTTTTTCCTGAGTTGTTCTGGGATTTAGCAACTTAATTGTTTCATGTTTTTTTTCTTTTAAGTCTTGCTTTTGTTTTTAATTTCTATATCTTATAATTTCTGTGGGATAATGACTCCACAAACTTTGTGAATGGTTTAGTGGCCAAATACGTATGGGTTTGTACTGGAACAATATTTCTTTGCCTATAATATATGCTTGTCTTTAGTGTAAACATTGTTGACAGAGCTAAAAAAAAATTCAGCTTTTTTTTTTCTGCACTGTAGTTCCTCGATCATGTTACTTAAAGTGAGAAGAAAAGAATGATTATACAATTTTAATGTGGAGGTTTTCTTATTACACACTGTATACATATAAAACTATTGTCAATTATTTTAAAGTTCATTTTTATGTGAGTGTTAGTTATGGAAAATAGCAGCATCAGCTTGGACTTGCTGGTTGTTTCATGGAATAGATGACCAAATGGAAATGTGGTGTTGCTCTCAGAAGTATGGACAGACACTTGGTTCCAGTCTACGCTTGAATTTATACATTAGTGCCATAGAAATTTGAAATTTACTCACCACTATTAAGCCAGACACCTGCCAAAATAGTGTTTGATCTTGAAGGTAGTGTAATTTAATTTGAAAAAAAAATGAACTGTACAAAATTAGTACAATAGTAAGATCAAGCTTTTTTCTTATCACTGCTTAAAAATGCGGGGTCACATTCCACTTTTATCCTTTCTCAATCTCTCTGGTCTGGCTTAGTTATTCCCTCATTTTATCTGGCTTCATCTCCTCTCCAGGCATGTTTCATTTAGAGTTTTGTCTAAGTGTGTTCCTTTTGCTAATGTACACTGAGAACAGTTTCAGTGTGATGAAGTATTTGTTCTTGAGGCCTTTTGCTCCTTAAAAATATATTTTTGATGTGAATTATTTTGGCATCTGACTTTACACTTCTTTTTTTATTAAAAAAACAAACCAGTAAGCTCTAAATTTCTCCAAATTCAGAGGGGTGTTAGCTCAAAGTATTCTGGACTAATTTAGAACCAGAA